TTACAATTCTTGCAAGTGCTGGTACTTCTGCAATCTGATGCTCGATGAGATGGACCGGTGCAATTGAAACAAAGCTTCTTTCTCGCCAGGATTTTTCTGCGTTCTCCAACAGTTGTGACCGATTTGTATTCCGACGACCGATGCTCTTCTTTGTCACAATACACACAAGCCTTTCGGGTTCCAGGTTGAGCACCACCTTTCTGCTGGGTGTGAAAACATCCTCGGGGCTGTTCTCGTTTCTTTTGCGTGTCATCATGCTTGGGGCTGTCAAGTGGATTCCTCCTGGTCCAGAATTGCAAAGCTTCAGTTAATTGAATGTATGTCCAATCTTCCCATTTAGTATCGTTACGGGCAAGATCTCCCCTAATCGCAGGTAGCTTTTCCAAGGTCATGGAAACAGTGCCATTCACTGCGTCTAGCTTCTTCAATGTTTCGAGTAACTGCACACAATATGCCAATTTATCATGAAACTCATGGATTTTCTTCACATTTGCAGTCGGTATATGGGGCAATTCCATAATTTCCTTGACAAAGCATTTGACTATTTCACATTCCTTCCCGAATCGGTCTTTCAATATGGCAGTAGCTCGGTTATAGCCCTCTGCGGTATGGGGCAAGGCTTCGATTGTCTTTCTTGCTTTCTCGCACAATAATTCCTTTAAGTAAGAAAATTTACTCACAGCCGGTATACTTGATTTATGAATAGTTTCCGAGTACAAGTTCCAAAATCTTGGCCAATCTTTGTAACTTGCGTTGAATTCCGAAATTTGAAGCTTAGGCAATTTCGCTTGTAATTTGCTGACTTCGTCCTCTTCCTTCCCGGATGTTGGTTTAACAGACACTTCCGCTTCCGCTTGCATTTTAATTTTCGCCTCGTGTAATTTAAGCTCAAATTCGATTCGTTTTTCCTGCTCTTGTTTTTCCCGTTCAGCTTTTTGCTCGTGTTGAATCTCTTCTAACCTGAATTCCTTTGTTTTAAGCCATTCTTGCAACTTTTCAATCGCTTCGTCACCGCTTTCCATTACGCTTTCGATTTCGCTATTCCATTCGTCAATTTCGTCGTCGTTTACACCCTCGGAAATTTTTGTCGCTTCGATTTCCCGTCTCAATTTATTTATTTCGGACAGAGTTTCTTTAATAGTATCCACATGTCTAACGATTGCTTGTTCTTTTCCATTGTTTACTATAGTTTCGGTCTTCCCAATCGCTCGTTTTAGTTGCGTTATCTTCGTCTCGAGTGCCGTAACTTCGAGTTTAGGCGGCATGTTGTTTACTCTAAACCTTCGCTTATATTATTCTAATTTAAAGGTTTTACTCACATATTCTGGGCTTCAACGTCGCATCGGGGGTGCCAGGTGTTGGGAATTTTGCTTTGAGTATCACCAACAAATCACTAGTTGTATTTTTGATATATAATATCTCAAATCACTCTCGTATCACATTTTTTACAATGGTTTCGCAGTCAAAGTCTCACAATAACAAAAATTCCTGTTTTAAAGGAAAACTATGTATCACGCTATCGCGCGTGGAGTTCACGTGTTCTATTACTATTTTAACTATAGACTGAGGTAAAGTCTCCGACAATGTTACGTACTTTCTGCATTAAAACCAGAAGATGTTATGGCTGCAATTGCGAGTTTGTAGATAAATATAGACAAGAACCATATAGCATTATCGTAAAGCACGTTGATAGACGGATAGTGCAAAAGGATCCTGTTACACATTCGGGCCGGGACATTCCTATGTTTATACTAGTCCTGATTTTAGTAATACATATTACCATCCAATATATTTCTGACCATATATCAGGTGTAAAAATCCGCTATTCAGTGGCTCAGTGCGCATTGTCTTCAAGCCTCTGCGCATCGATCAGTACTTTCCGGAAACAAGTGTTAGAGAACAGGGATTTAAATATCCGGGTTGTTGGTTAATCATAATGTACTTTTATAATGTCCTAGCATGGATATATCTATTATTTGTGATAGTATATGGTTGTTTTTAAATTAGTATAAAACTGATTGTAATAGGAGTGGTAAACTGAAGTCATTTCTACCAAAGTCTTGTTTGTTCTTTCAGAACATATTTTTTGATTAGAGGATTTTTGTCATGGTACAATTGTTGGTTCAGTACCATTTATTGAAATTATTCTTTCAGGTTTTAGGCTTCTGGCACGTTTACATAGAACCATTAAATCATGACAAAAGGCTCTTGGGCAATGTTTCGTATTGAAGCAATCCTATATAGTTGTCTACTAAATGAACACATGATTTTTACACACTTTATTCAACCCGCGACTCAATAAAATCCACAGTTTGGAGAATTTTTATGACACGCGACTTTTTACCCGCGACCATTAGTCAAACTCCTGGCTAGTCAGGTGATATTTTGCGGCCATTTCCGTTTGCATTAAAAATCGTTGAATATTTCCGGATGTGGCGTAATTAGTTGGTGTCCACTTGGCGTAACCTCCGGCGTAAAATTTTGACGGATTCCAACCTGGCCCTCTGGAAGTGCTTTTTTGCTTTTTAACCCCTCTGGAAAGAGCATTTTTCTTCCATTTTTCCCAATTACCCCTCTGGAAAAAATGACTAATTTCCCCCTTGGAAAATGAGGTCCTCGACAGGGGGGGTACGGATATTAAATGTAATAGCCAAATGTACAAATCACAGGCAGCCCAGACGTGTATTAGTGCATCAGTAGTAAATATATCATTATATAATATACTACACAGTAAAATTTGTAATGAATTTTATATTTTAAAATATATTTACTTGCCTACTTTGATTGTATGTGATCGTCTTTTATTTCTGAGCGACTTTACATTCGATGCCTGCGACTGTCTTCATAGGTGATAGTATTGAAAGCAAAGGCTAACGATTCCAGTTCTCAAACAGCCGACACGAACAATTCAAATCGAGAAATATCCCCTTCAAATTGCTTTGTTCCCGGTAAAACTTCGCCAGCGTATAGAATAAACACCCATCTTCGAACATACAAGGCAATATTAACACTTCCTGTAATTTTTGCAATGGATTTTTAGCGAAATGTTTCGAGACTAAAATTCTATGGAACTTAGAAAGACCGATCATTACTACGGCGCTTGCTTGGCCACCTAGCCTCCTTTACCGTTTGGATTGTCAGGGGGGGATTCAAATAAAAAACACATATTTCCGGCAACAGCCAGCCAATCAACGCCGCGATACCGACTGTTTACAATATTTGAAATCTGACATTGCAATTTATCAACAACAAAACTCTTTCGATCGATCGATCGTATAGTATAAAATAGAAAGAGAGCTGTATACGATCGAAAGAGTTTTGCTGTTGAAAAATCCAAACGGTAAAGGAGGCTAGGTGGCCAAGCAGGCGTCGTAGTAATGATCGGTCTTTCTAAGTTCCATAGAATTTTAGTCTCGAAACATTTCGCTAAAAATCCATTGCAAAAATTACAGGACGTGTTAATATTGCCTTGTATGTTCGAAGATGGGTGTTTATTCTATACGCTGGCGAAGTTTTACCGGGAACAAAGCAATTTGCAGGGGATATTTTTCGATTTGAATTGTTCGTGTCGGCTGTTTGAGAACTGGAATCGTTAGCCTTTGCTTTCAATACTATCACCTATGAAGGCAGTCGCAGGCATCGAATGTAAAGTCGCTCAGAAATAAAAGACGATCACATACAATCAAAGTAGGCAAGTAAATATGATTTTAAAATATAAAATTCATTACAAATTTTATTGTTTAGTATATTCTCAGAGGTATATTCTATAATGATATATTTACTATACACTGATACACGTCTGGGCCGCCTGTGCTTGGTTAAAACTTACCAGAGACATAATCACAGTAAAACCTGCAAAAAGTATAAGAATGTTACCTGTAGATTTAAATTCGGACAGTTTTTTACCGACAAAACAGTTGTTGCTGATCCATAATCTGAAGATATGGATGAAGACAAATATTCTTACTAGAAGAAAAGATATATTGTGTTACAGTGATAGACCGAAAAACATTCCTATCATTAATAATATGCGTTTGGCACTATTTTCTACAAACTACTACAAGGATTACAAAATTTATATAGATGATGTATCTGATTCTCAACCTGAAGTGCTCAGTGATGATATCATTGAATGTCAAAATACTGAGAATTATAGCACAGAACTTCCTGATCGAATAAAACTGATGAGCAGCAAAGAAGTTATGAAGTGCCGAAAAGTTAAAGCTGTACTGCGATATCACACACCAAACAAAAGTAAAGAGCCTGAAAAATATTTTCACCACCTTCTCGTGTTGTATTTCCCATGGCGTAATGAAAATGAACTTCTAGGTACAAGACCAGACTTATGTTTCCAAGTTCTATGAGCCAGATATTCAATCGATAGTACAACACAACAAAGAAATATTTGAGCCAGATAGTGATGCTATTAATGAAGCATTAGAAACTCTACGAAACTCTGATGGTATGCCAGCTCGCTCATATGATCCAATAAATGACCAAGAAAATGAAGAGATGCGACAAAGGTTACCTAATGATGCCAATGAACCAGAATCATTTAATAAATCATTGCCCCAACATCTTGAACCAAATCCTGAATTAGCTCAGCGATCATCTGGTATAATTTCCTACAATCAACCCTCAGATATCAGTGATGATGATCTACGAAAAACTGTAAGATCATTAAACAGCGAACAATACTATGCATATGACTTGGTTCTTTCCTGGTGTAGAAATAAAATGGCAAATCTAAACACTCGTAAACCTTCCAAAATAGATCCAATACATGTTTTTGTTACTGGAGGCAGAGGTGCAGGGAAATCACACTTGATTAGAGCTATACATCACACTGTTACAAAAACATTTAGACATGCTCCCTTGAATCCTGAATTACCTTCTGTGCTGCTAATGGCTCCAACTGGTGTGGCTGCTATTAATATAAGTGGAACAACTGTCCACACAGCTCTAGCAATTCCACGAGAATGTGGCAATAGTGTACCTGCAATGTCAGATCAGAAAAGAACACAAATGAGACTATCCTTGGCTGAATTGAAACTAATAATAATTGATGAAATATCAATGGTATCAAACATTGGTCTGTTGCATATTCACCAAAGATTGAAAGAGATATTTGTTACACCTAGTAGTGAACTTTTTGCAGGAATCAGTAAACTTGCTGTTGGTGACTTTTTTCAGTTACCACCAATCCGAAGTGCAACTGCCTTTTCAAATTATATGAATGATGCATTTAATTTGTGCCATCCATGGCATGTCTTTAAAATGGCTGAACTAACACAGATCATGAGACAAAAAGATGACATTTACTTCACACAACTATTGAATAGAGCCCGCACTGCTTCACACACAGACGATGATATCACGTGTTTTCAATCTAGAGTAATTACTGCAGATGATGAAAATTATCCATCAGATGCGTTACATATCTTTGCAGAAAATGCACCTGTGGATGAGTATAACCTTGATCGTTTAGAAAAGATTCCATCACCCCATTACATATTAAAAGCTGTGGATCAATTCCCACCCCATGTTAGAAAACAGGATATAGAAAGAGTATTGTCTAAAGGTAGATCTCAAACTGGAGGACTTGATACTGAAATTATGATCAAGGAAAATGCAAGAGTTATGCTTACAAATAATGTAGATATCATAGACCGATTAATAAATGGCCAGTTAGGTACAGTGGTCAGAGTTGCTGTTGACAGTGTAAGCAATAAACCCTCTACTATTTTTGTTAAATTTGATGACAGAAATGCTGCAATTTCTGCTATTCAAAAGTCCCCCAGTACTTTTGCAAGAGAAAACAGTGTTGTTCCCATTCAACCTGTGCTAGCAAGAATTAAAGTCAGACCTGGAAAGCCATCATCTCCTGAAATACAAAGACTACAATTTCCTTTAACTCTTGCATGGGCATGCACTGTGCATAAAGTACAAGGATTAACTCTGGACAATATTGTTGTTAGTTTTGATTTAAAAAGGTATTTTAACCATGGTCAAGTGTATGTAGCACTGAGTCGAGCAACATCTTTAAATGGCCTACATATTCTAGGAACTCTTGAAAATAAGCATATTCGAGCAAATCCAAAAGTCCAGGAAGAATATGAAAGATTGCGCGAAATTTCAAATCTCCAACCACAACTAACAACTGCAGACTTATCTAACAAAGAAACTTTCTCTATTTGTATTTTGAATATCAGATCATTTAAGAAACACAGTTTGGACTTAATTAGTGACCCAATCTTGTCAAAATGTGACATACTTGCACTTACAGAGACGCAGCTTTCAAGCAATGTTGAAAATTGTGAAATGAATTTGATTCTAAAAGATTTTTCTCTGCACAGACAAGATCATCATTCTGATAAGTTCTTAAGTTTAGCTGTCTGCTACAAAGAAACTGTTACACTTGATGAAACAGAATATTTCAGTTCAATAAATGGTTTAAAATTTGTAATTTATATATCAGGTAATAATTTATCTTTATCCTGCTTATTACTTTATCGTAAGCATGGAGGTAACATTCAGCAGTTCATAGCTGGCCTAGATTACATAATAAGAAGCTGTGATATTGATATTATATTTGGTGATTTTAATATTGATTATTTTAATGATAACAGTAATTCTTCATTGAAAGAACTTGCTGAGTCTTTAAACTATGTGCAACTTGTAAATAAACCAACAGTTATTTCATCCGGAAGTCTTCTAGATCATGTTTATGTAAAACAGTCAATATGCAACACAATAGAAGCAAATGTTGTAAGTGTATATTATTCTGACCATGAGGCTGTTAAGGTTAGTGTGAGGTCTTAATATACAGTATACAGTAGTTCAAATATAGTACCAATTGCTTAAACATAGACATATATATTATATATATAGCCAATATCTTATAGCCCTTATATCCAATATCTTACTCGTATTAACTTTGCAGAAAAAAAACATTGAAAATCAACAAATCTCTCAAATGGAATGACAGTCAACAAGAAGATGCCTGGCATGGGGAATCTGGTTGGGGGATCTGGTAGATCCCTGAAGACTATAATGACAAGTCTCTACCATTCCATAAAAACAAGGTATGTTGAAGTTATCTTTTTATAAAAACTAACTTTAGGTATAGTAAAGATGTAATATATACAGTGTACTCTGTACAAGTATGGCTTGTTGACTGTATAAATAAAATTTAACGTTTGAAGTTTGCTTTGTATTGCGTATTTTTATACACCCTGTGCCTGCATAATAAAGCTGCACTATGCTACTGTAGATGCTCTTTTTAAACAAACTTATGTGTCTTTCTAGAAAAGTGTTCAACAAATCACTACACATGGATTACTATATGGATACTGTAAACCTCACTGTTGTAATCATCAACTCTAGACTTGCCACAAGTCAACCTTGTTGTTGAGCGGTGAAGCCGCCAACCACGAACTGAGGGAAAATATGGAAAGGAAAGTCTGTTGGGAAAGTCTACATACATTAACTCACAAACTTGAAACTTGTATGACAAACATGATCATACCATGTGTGACAAACATGATCATACCATGTGTGACAAACATGATCATACCATGTTCCTCAATACTGGTACCCTATATCAATGATGGTCAACATATCCACTGATATTGTAAGAACTTGACCAACATTAACAGATTATTAAAAATAAACATCATAAAAATGTCACAGATCCAAACTGCAAGGTATTTGCATGGATTTCTTCAAACTATTCAGCCAATCCATTACTATTACAATCTATTATTAAAAACCAATACCAGCCGACAATTTCAAAAAATATAATACAAAACATAATCCGAAGATAAGCATCTTGAAACCCAAAATATGAGTCAAACAAGAAAGTGAGTGAGTAATATTTCGATTTTATTACAAAATCATCATCAGACTAGCTAAAGTTACAATATACACATGGTCTTATATACAAGTTGGCAAGGCATGATGACAGCTTAACGGAAGTCTCAATCAGAACCACGACAGTTGCAGTGAGATGTTAGTGTGATGAAATGTGGGTGTATCGATTAAGAAAAAAGCTTGAGTTCTTTGCTGGCTTTGAGTCCAGTGTTTAAACTGGGTGAATGATACTTGATATATAGAGCTTCAAGCAACAAGAGTAAGTTAGGTGTGCGAGAATAAATACTTTGTTTTTGACAAACTTAACAACCCAACTGACGCTGACAATAATGTTTCCACTTTTATTTCCAACTTAATATCTGACAACTCTCGAATTCTTCACACTATTTATTCTCGCACACCTAACTTACTCTTGTTGCTTGAAGCTCTATATATCAAGTATCATTCACCCAGTTTAAACACTGGACTCAAAGCCAGCAAAGAACTCAAGCTTTTTTCTTAATCGATACACCCACATTTCATCACACTAACATCTCACTGCAACTGTCGTGGTTCTGATTGAGACTTCCGTTAAGCTGTCATCATGCCTTGCCAACTTGTATATAAGACCATGTGTATATTGTAACTTTAGTTAGTCTGATGATTTTGTAATAAAATCGAAATATTACTCACTCACTTTCTTGTTTGACTCATATTTTGGGTTTCAAGATGCTTATCTTCGGATTATGTTTTGTATTGTAATCTATTATTAGTCGCATCTATTACATACAATCTTTCCTAATTTATCACATATCTTCTGTAAATTGTACAGTGTATAATTGTTCTTGCATTTATGTTATGTGTCTTGTGTTCTGTCTTTGTTAAGGTTGGTCTTCACATGCAACTACTTTTGTCCTGTTGACCATACCTTCAACCAATATTTAATTGTGTAAACAGTTCTTCTTTTAGTTGTAAAAAATTATTTCGTATTTTTGTATGGTGTAAAGTTAATTTATTAAATAATAAATTATGTACTGTACTGTAGCAAATTTGTAATATTAATGATATTAAATGCCTATATATGTCTATCTGTTCTTACTTTCTATATAAGAACCTAGATTTTTCTAAAAGTCTAAACAGGTTCTTATTTTCCTATAAAAAATCAACCTATTTTCGGTAGGTATAGTATATAATTTGTACAAATTATACACAATTTATCTGCAAATAACAGTATTTCCATTACTTGAAGTAATGGAAATACTGTTATTTGCAGATAAATTGTGTATAATTTGTACAAATATACTTGATATGGTAAATATGCTATTTTCTTTGATACGTAAAGATTTAGTTTCAACTCTCTTGATAAAATAAGAAACTTTGAAATTCTAGCCTGAACACTTTCTTATGTGGAGGGGGATCTTTGAGTTAGTGCTTAAAGCATGTTCCCTATAAATACTTGTGTTTATAGGGCGCATTGATCAGTTTTTCCTATACCTATATATAATGTCAGTCATTCCAGATTGTCATGAATTGTGAGCAAATCACCTTTCATATTGATAATATTACTAATCTTGACGCTCCAAGGCGAAAAAAGTACCTGCGACATGATTATTGAAAAAGGTGTATTCCTATCATTTCAAATTGTCATTTCATGGGTTGTTTACTTTAGTAGATCCAGTTGGATAGTTGCAGTGTATGACTTACCCTACAAATACCAATCAAGATTAGCCTTTTCCCAATCAAGCAGGGTATATATACTTGACCGAGCACAGGTTAGTAGCAAACTGCAAAGCATCTATGGATTATTTGGAAGGATAATTTATAGATGCTTTGCAGTTTGTGACTGAACCCAATATCCTGCTCAATTAGGAAAAGCCTTAAAATACCTGTAATGTTTCAATGAATATATCCAAAAATGACCTGCGTTTCAAAGTCAATATAATATAAAAACACACAACTTTTGGAGATTGTACAATATAACCTAAATATGGCAGTGTCAATGTCAAAGTTTGAACAATGTCATATAAATTTAATTTAACTATAAACAGTATCAATATTAAAGTTTGCCAAGTCCAAAAGCTAATCTATTACTGTATAAAAAGACCAAATAACCCATAACATAACATAACTTAAATAAACTTACAGTGTCAATATTAAAGTTTACCAAGGCCCATGTTCAAAAGGGCAAGAAGTGTTTCTATAATAATATTAAATTAGTGCATGTCCTAGAATGTTTCTAACTAATAGACCTTTTTAAAACGTCTGCCTCGTGACATAGTTTGCGGATAAAGGAAAACCCCGCACTGTAGCCATTTGGCTTGCCTGATTGGCCAAATGGATCATATTTATCAGCAAACTACGTCACAAGGCAAACTTTTTAAAAAGGTCTATTATATTCAATCTATCTCCAAGAATGTTTCTTTGCATGTTATAGTGCAGCTACTGGGCCACTTGCATTGAACTCATTAGCTTCTCATTACTAACGACTTCAAAAAGTACTTTCTTAACCAGAAGAAGAGTTTCTACAATCATTTTCCGCGAGAGTTTGGCATCATCGGTTTCCTTGATATTGTAAATTTTTGTCGCTTTAATAGACTCAAACATGCTGTTTAGAACGGAATTCGAACAATAAAAGCGTCCTTTATTTTCGTTGTTCTCATCAATCACCATCACGTTTGCTGAGACCGTTTTCTTTACGAATTCTTTCAAGAACGTCGTTTTGCACGAACCACAATTGACAAATTGGTCGTCCGAGTCTGTAATTCGACTTCTGCAGTTGACACAAACAAGTGTAAATGACACATCCACACCTAAAACTCTGCCGGTCAAATTTGAACATTCCTTTTCCTTGGGTTTAAGCTGTTGGGCTGCTGCATGTATTTCCTCAGGTATTTCGATGTCTTCGATTTCGTTGATCACCGACTCGCGTATGCCATTGACAAACTTGATGTTGAAGAAGCTGACTTTGAATTGTTGGAATAGGTACGAATGCCCTTCCGTTATGTTAGGGATCATGTTTTCCCAAATCTTCGCTTTGATTGAACCGGTTGCGTCGACTATGATTGCTTCACACTTCAGTAAGGTTTTCCTCATTGTGTGCGAATACATGCTTTCGGTCGTTCCTTTCCAAACCACTTTTGCCGTAATGGAAACAAGATCATTGATACTTGATTCTTTTATTTCTTCAACCGTATGTTGCTCCTTTTCGTGAACTGTGTTCCATGGAAACGCCATATTCTTTTCCCGAATGACTTTCGACCTATTGTTCATGGTATACTTGACACTGTCCGGTTCATATTTGCGTTTCTTTGCGGTGACATTGAGGAGTTTTACAGGCGATTTGGTGATTTCGTTATCTTTTATTTCATTCCGTTTTTCTGGGCAGAAGCAAACCATGTGCATGCTTTCTTCTCGCTCCTGGATTTTGAAGTCGAAGTACCGGTTTCCCGATGCTGGCGTTTTAATTTCAGATACTCCGTGAATATAGCCTTCGACATCTTTTTTCATTGCTGTCGAATCTCTCCCCTGCCCTGCCATTGCACACAATATAATTTTAGACAGCGAAAAATACAGAATCGATCAACAAAATGCAAAGAAATAAAATGACAGAGTAATGACACACGGCAAATCACTGATATTTATACAAACACAGAACAAAGACTCGTTTTTCTGAGGTGAAAAGGACCACACGGTAGAGATGTGTTCCGATTGGTTGCTGAAGCGCAACGTTTCCGTTGTGCCATGGTTTTGCAGGTTCATGCGGCACTCATGCGACAACTAGACCTTAGGGTGCTCTGCTCTGATGTCTATGCGACAGCACGCCCATCGAGCGCCGGAAATCATAACCTCGTAAACAAATTGAAACTCTTCTACAAAACATCGAAACAGTACAATTTGATATAAAATAAAGACTTTCCTACGCCTGTGGCGCGTGCTGTATTTTGTATGGTCAGAGATACTGCGCCCACGTTCAACATCGCAATTACAGTTTCGTTGATCAGGATATAAATTAGTGATATTGTTTCCCATATATGTCGACGCCTGGTCACATGACAGGAATCACTATATTTTCATGTATTATTTAGTATCTGTTGTGTCGCGGTCTCAGACTAGTACAGACTACGGACTCCATATAAAGCTAAGCTGTTGTAAACTTTTGAATGAGCACTGTCTAAAATGTGGACTTTGTATTATGAAATACGCTCATGCTACATAAACATACATGCATTATTCGTGGAAAGGCCTACACTAAAATATGTTGAGCGTTTTCGAACCAGACCAATGACCCACGAATACAAAATTACCGAAAGGTACTATCATGTTGCTATCAAAGACATCAAACGTTTCTCAAAATCTTATTCAAAATGTTATATAAATATGTTTACATTATTAATGCATACAAAATGTGACACGGCATACTTCGAAACCCGAACCGGACTCGAAGAAAATCCGGACTCGCGAAAAACCCGGATCCGGACTCGAAAAAAATCCGGACTCGTGTTTAAGAAAACCCGGACTTGACTTTTGAAAACCCGGACTCAAAATAGACAAAACCGGATTCAAAACAAGGACTCTGTGTACGAAAATGCAGAGGTTTTTTGGAAAGGTTTAATAATTAGTAACATAATAAATGATGATCTCTTTATATCTTTATCTCGATATTTTTAATCTTCTGCTGTTAACAAAATAATCACTTAGATATACTGGAACCAAATCATTTAAGCACTTATAAGTTATTAAAAACTAAAATGTATCGATGCATACGATCTACAAGTAGCTAGTACGAGGGTAGCATGTTGATTGTTGATTCTCAAAATAACGTTCACTTGATTTATTGTCAAACTTCATTGTCAGTATCGAGCCGCGGTTGTATACAAGGCATATGGGGCAATTGATGAACGCATTGCCTAACGAGAGAGTCTCAATATCAAATTTACGCCAACCATCCAACGCAAATTTCACTGTCGGTCGGCCGCGGCTGCGGCTTTCATTGTGTTGTGTTTTCTACTATTTTTGATAAAGAATAATTGGGGGTGTTCAATTCGTGTTTATGGACTTTATCTTAACGAAATTGAGAAAATAAACTTGTTTCCAGTGGCGTCTTGCCCAAATATTTGAGAGCATGATATAATATCAAATTTATGTCCATCCGCACAACGCTCGAATTACTTCACAGTCTGTATTTAGCATTTTAGGCGCGGTTGCCGCGACACCTTCATTGCCTTCAACATGGGATGTGCTTTTCTGGCGTTCTTTTTGATTGGTTGGAGTTACTTTTGATGGGTTGAAGTCTAGTTATTTTTCGTGTCATTTTGCCGATAGTGAGGTCGAATATGTTCCGAGGATATATTTTACCCTTGCCGCCATCGATCACGTTGAGTCTGCTATGATGGCAGCAATCTTGTAACGAGTGGTTTACAGACAAGACATTCCTAGCGCTGAGACAGGGTAGATTTAGCTACTCGCAGGAGTATGTCAAAAGCAAAACATTACTATGCAAGCCTTCCAATGTGTTAATATGTCAACATCAATTCCCCAAAATTGTGCCACTGGCACTGATTTTTGTTACACCGCATTTGGCAATCGCGACTTTTGTATGCGACAGGTATACAAAACTTTAAATCACATAATAAATGTCCATCAGTTTGGGCTTTGTTCAGACATCGAGACCAATCCTGGACCTGTATACTATATAGATCCTAGCATGACAATAAGTGCACCATATAGTCAGGGAAATGAACTTATATTTGGCGAAACAGCACAACAGCAATGTTTGGCCATGTGTTTATGTGCGCTCATATACAATAAAAGACAGGGCATTTACTCATCACAAGATTTGGCTCGGTTAATGAATGTTGGCAATGAATTATACTCAAACTTGGCACGTTCGACAAGCCAATCATTTCCAATGTTTACAGAACTGCCTACGCAACTTACAGTATTCAACACAGATTATATTCTCCAGTAAAGTGAAAGCTATAGTGGCAGACTACTTGGAGAAAGTCATATTGAAGGGTATCAGTACTGTGTACCATTTCATTGAGCATTTGAGTCGGTACTGACTGAAAACTTTGCTGCATTTATATTGACAATTGATCCCAATGCAGTTTGCATATATTCCATAAATGATGGGAAATACAAAATATTTGACTCTCATTCAAGGGATATATATGGTAGAAGCCATCCACAAGGGACTTATGTATTGTTAGAGACAGCAACTATCGACCATGTTGTTTTACATTCACAGTCACTATACGGTGAAAACAGTCAGTTTGAGCTACGAGGAGTAAATATTGAAGAACAACAAGCTTCTTTTCACCACGCCCAAAACCTTAGTGAAAACGGTATGCCTGGTAGTGGTAATGTCTCACAGGAAACTAATACATGTGCATGTAGTTCTGACATTTCTCAATGTTGTGCAATTGCATTATATTCTATTTGTTACTCCACTATTAAGCCATGCAATTACTGGGATTCGAATACAGTTTCTGCAATTGCTTATTGGGGCATTATTTTGTATAACAACACTGGTATAAATATTTGGTCTTCAAGTACACTACCAAAAAAAGTGGAAATATTTGAAAATGAAGTACATGTAAATTTACAAGCAAATTATCGAGGAGTATTAAGTGATAATGCAGAAAGCAGATTGGACATTGAACATTGTATATGTGATAATAATGAAAGCACAGGTTTTTTTAATTTGGCTTGGAGCTTCCTGTATTTCTTGCTTCATTTTCGAAGTAAACAATGTTATTAATACAGTAATACTCCTACAAATGTAAACAAATTTAGCTTTATTGTAGCTTATTGAAAGTATAAACAACCCCTGGAAACAGTGAACTACTATAATAGATTGAAAATAATTATTAAACTATGATCTCAACCATGATTGAAATTATTGAAGTAGAATGCTATTTCGTTGTATTAAATTTCAATAGACAATAGTATAATGAGAATTTTGTTTGACTTTTAAATATATTTCATGTTATTTACAGAATGTGATGTAGTTTTGACGTTTTGCACACAATTTAATCAGTGCTAGCACAATGGCTTCGTTTCAATTTGAGCATATTTTGATAGCGTAGCGGTTTATATATCGTGTGAAAGGTTACGGCGTAGCCTTTCGCACAATATATAATATTAAAACGCCTGATAATTGATAAATATCAGTGCGATCACAATGGCACGAAAATAACAAAATAACAGAATATAAGGTAAATTAAAAACGGCAAAGCTTTACCTACCTCGATCTATTTTTCTAAGGCGCTAAATTATGTAAATTTTCGACGAAAAATCAATATTTTCTTTGTATTTTACGAATCTGTAACGTGATTTACCACCACCAATTGTGGCAGATCTCACGAACCGAAGCAATGTCCCGCATACGGTAAAACATGCAACAGTTGTGGTAAAAGTGGACATTTTGCAAAGTTATGTCGTTCCAGCAAGAACCGACCAAACTCTCATCACAACTCTCATGTCCAACACCTCGAAATAGACGGTGACACCTCAGATCACGGTATCGACGAAGTACAAGGCAATATAACACGGCTCAACAAACAAACACGCGACGCTAAAAATCAATAATAAACCTATTCAACTTAAACTCGACTCTGGGGCTGAGACAAACTTTTTAACTAAATCTGATTTTGAGAAAGTCGTACCGAGACGACAGCGCCATCACAAGCTGAAACTAAGCCAGGCGAAACTGACAGCCTTTGGTGGACACCCCATCCCTGTTATTGGCAAATGTTATTTACGATGCACCCATAAAGATTCGACTCGAGTTGTTGAATTTCATGTGGTCGAAACGGGAACATCTCTCTTAGGTTGCGCAGACTGCAAGAGTATGCAACTTATTACGTTTAATAACATTGAACAAATTACGAGCGAAACGTGTTCCCTATCTGGACTATCGATCGAAAAAATATTCACGAAATATCCACACTGTTTCAAAAACTGGCTCAAGATGGCGTCAGCGTGTGTAAATGGCGCTCTGTATCGAGTTCTCATTTTCTACATCTGCTATATATTTTTGAAAGGACATATGTCCTCAGAAAGCTTAAAGGGAGTTAGATCTATCTCTAGCTCTCTTTATGTTGGTAAAATATTGACAACAATTGAAATTCCAACGATTTCAAGCGAGATCAAATACAAGTACAAGCCAACTAACATGGCTTTGTCTACGAAGCTGATCAAGATTTCCAAACTTATACAATACATTACGATGGCAGCCTTAATTCTAGTAGCGGTGATGTATCATCAAATCCGGGATGGACTTATTCTGCTGTGGACCAAACTGGTCTAAAAATCACCCACCTAAACGTTCGTAGCCTTCCTAGACACTTTGACGAATTTAAAATATTGATGAATGATAATCCATTTGATGTTATATGCCTCAATGAAACCTGGCTAAACTCATCATGGACGGACTCTGAATTAGAATTAAATGGCTACAACTTTATTAGACATGACTGTAATGATTCGCAGCGAGGAGGAGGAACTGCCATCTATTATAGCTCGAAGCTTCTTGCTCGTCAAAGAACCGATTTAATACGCCCCGATATCGAAGCGACATGGTTGGAAATATTATTGCCAAATCGAAAGAAATTGCTCATCTGTTCAATTTATAGACCACCGAATATGATATATAATAACTTCAAAGTTTGTTTCGAAAGTATCTTGGAAAAAACATCGACCGAAGGTACAGAATTACTTTTCTTTGGGGACTTTAACTGTGATATGCTTCCTAGGAAATTGTCTGCTGATGCAAGGGACCTTCGTCAACTATTTAACGTTTATCAAGTAACTCAGCTTATTAAATCTCCAACGCGCGTTACAAGCAATTCTTCAACCCTAATTGATCTTGCTTTAGCAACAGATGTACGAAAAATTGTTGCATCTGGAGTTTTGCAATGCTCGATTAGTAATCACTCGCTTATTTACTTAGTAAGGCGTGCAAGAAAGCCACGAAATACTTTTAGGAATATTCAATTCCGAAATTTAAAAACCTACTCAGCCGAAAGATTTGTTGCAGATTTGCATAATGCCTCATGGGAGGAGATCGACACATCGTTAACTGTAGATGATGCATGGAATGTATTCAAATCATTACTAAACAATATAATAGAAAAACATGCACCACTTCAATCAAAAAGAGCACGGGCAGACAGTCTACCATGGCTCACTAGTGACATTAGGACTTTGATGCGTCAACGTAATTTCCACCATAAAAGGGCTCAAAAAACTAAGTCTACCGACGAGTGGGAAACGTACAAAAAACTACGCAATAAAACAACACGGCTCATTAGAGATACGAAGCGAGACTTTTACTCGAATGTGATCAATGACAATAAAAAAGACTCTACTAAATTATGGAAAACATTAAAGACTGTAATCTCTAATGCCAAAAAGTCCTCAAGTGTTGGATATTTGGAAACAGCAGTTGGTTTAGCGTGCAAACCGCAAGAAATCGTACAAGGTTTTGCCCAATATTTTTACGAAGCCGTAACGAACATAAGGCACAACTTACAATCTCTAGCTTCCCCTGTGGTATGCTCAGTTCCTAAACCAAATTTCACGTTTCGACTTTCCACAATAGATGAGACTTTTGTCTATGACCAACTGAAGAAAATTAAAACATCCAAGTCAACTGGGTTAACTCATATTCCCGCACGCCTGCTGAAAGACGGCCGTAATGCCCTAGCTAAACCTCTAACCGTCCTAATGAATAAATCACTAGCTGAAGGTACCATACCATCTGAATGGAAACATGCCATGGTAACGCCGGTGTACAAATCTGGTTCAAAGACAGATGCTGCTAATTATAGACCCATTTCTGTGTTACCTGTTTTTGTGAAAATACTTGAGCGTGCTGTACACAGTATGGTATACCATTACCTCCAAGAAAACCAACTTTTATCCACCTATCAATCCGGTTTCCGTCCACTACACTCTACTGGTACATGCTTTATAGACACCACCAACAAGTTACTTCACAATATAGACAGGGGATTGCTTACTGGCATGGTCTTTCTAGACCTTTCTAAGGCTTTTGACACTCTAGATCATGATAGGATGCGAGAAAAACTATCCCAGCCCTAGTTTAACGATTCTGCAGTCATTTGGTTTGATGGTTACTTGACAAATCGGACACAAAGTATCACTATAAACGGTGTGGTCTCTGATCCTCAGTTTATACAATATGGTGTTCCTCAAGGGTCGATATTGGGGCCCTTACTTTTTATTATATATATTAATGAACTACCGTCTGTAATTCAGAACTGTAGTATCCAGCTATATGCTGATGACACTTTGCTCTTTTTCAGTACTAATTCTGTTACATTGATCGAATCCACTTTATCTGGAGATCTAAACCGTATAATAAGTTGGTTAAATAGAAATTGCCTTTTCCTAAACCATTCTAAGACAAAGATCATGTTAATTGGAACGCATCAGAGACTTGCCAAAGTTGATAGCTTTAACATTGAAGTACAAGACACTAAGTTGGATAGAGTTTACAAATTCAAATATCTCGGTGTTATGTTTGATTCATGCCTTTCTTGGAATGATCACATTGATTATATTTCTACTAAGATTTCATCTCGGCTTGGCATGTTACGTAATTAAGGCTCGAAAGATTATTCCGAGGGAGACATGTGTCACACTATATGATGCTATGATTCTGCCCTTATTTGATTATTGTTCTGCTGTTTGGGATAATTGTGGTAAAACAAATTGCGATTTCCTAGAAAAGCTTCAAAGGAGGGCAGCTAGTATCATTGAAGGACGTCGAGTGCTGCAATCTGATGTGAATCTTACACTAAGTTGGCCATCATTACAATCTCGAAGGGAGTATCAAATTTGTCTCCAAGTCTTTAAGTGTCTTCACGGCTTGGCGCCGGTTTATTTATTGCATGAGTTTAACTACTCGCGCGAATTTCATGCTTATAATACAAGACACAAAGATAACCTCCGCCTACCTCTAGCTAAGACCACAAAATATCAAAATTCTTTTCGATATAACGGGGCAAAAATATGGAATAGGTTGCCATTAATATTGAGAAATCAAACCAGGTTTTCTAAATTTAAAATAGATGTAAAGAAGTATCTAAGGACCGAATGTATTTAGTCCAAGAAAGTATTTAGTCTATATTATATGGAATCTACATAATATAGTTATTAGTATACAGTATGTTAAATTGTTGTAATTTTATATATGTTAGTATGTATAGCTGTGTGTTTTGTAATTCTATTTTTGCCAGGGCTCCACTTAAACCAGCTATGCTGAGTTGGACGTCCCTGATTAAATATTGTTATCATCATCATCATAAGTGCATCCCCTCAACTTTAATAGGTCCTAGTGGTTATACTATAGTTCGTAAGGATCGCGATCTTCGGCCAGGAGATGGGGTTGCCATCTTGTGTAGAAATGATTGGAAAATTATTAATGTCGACCTCGATAACAATTTCGAATGTATCTGGTGCGAAATTCACACTATGAATAGTTCATACTGCGTCTCTGTAGTGTATCATCCACCTGAGCCAATCAGTTACAACGAATCTGATTTGCTTATTTTTTTATCTGAATACTGTGAAAAGATTCTGTTATTGCAACCTAATGCCAAAATAATTATTGCTGGTGATGTAAATCAACTGCGCATGCACGACTTTTGCATTCAGCACAACTTTGATCAAATCGTGAGGAAACCTACTAGAGGTTCTCGGATACTGGATGTTTTCTTGACAAATATCCCTCATTTATGGAAGGCTCCTATAGTTTTTAGATGTTTGGTACGCTCTGGTCATTCTGCGGTTGTTGTGACTCCACAGCTACCTGTTAAGCGTGAGAGAAAATTTGTATATTTTCGTGATGTGAGGTACCACCGAAAAATAAAAATGGAGAATAAATTGAAGGTATATGACTGGAGCCGGATTTACGATGCCAACACTGACGATGTTGACGAAGGAGTCGAGTTGTTGAATGAAACTCTTTGTAATATGTTCAATGAGTGCTTTCCCACGATTAAAGTCAAAATGTCGACTCGTGATCCACCTTTTATGTCCCCGCTTGTTAAGCATCTGTGTAATGTACGAAATAGGGAACTTATGAGAGACGCTGATACTGACCTAATTCAACAGAAGATAAATAAACTTATTCGAGAAAACCAAGTCAAAGCCATTCATGACGATAAACAGCAGCGTGCACCTAGTATGTGGAAGCTAGCGACTCTAAGCCCATTACCTAAGGAATCTCCGTTAACCGAATGCGATCAATTGAGACCAATATCGTTGACTAATGTTATTATGCGACTCTTCGAAAGGATCATATTTCAAGAAGAGATTCGCCATCCCTCAAAATTGATTATCGATAAGAACCAGTGCGCTTATAGGGAAAACTCGAACACTACTGCAGCTCTGATAAAGTGCCAGCATCATTGGCTAAAATGGTTAGACGATAAGGCTAACTTCATTCGGGTAATATCATTCGATTTCAGTAAAGCGTTTGATAGCGTCCCCCACGATATTTTAACACAGAAATTGAAATCAACAAATCTTAATCCTTATATTATCAATTGGCTCATTAATTTTATATCGTGTAGGACACAGAGAATTACTGTAGATGGAGCTGTTACCAGATGATTTAACAGTGAGTGTTCCTGTCACATCGTCTGGTGACTCGGCTTTGGACGAGGTAACTAACATTGAGAGTTGGGCAAGCAACAATAGAATGAAACGCAACTTTAAAAAACCCTGGGAAATGTTACTATGTACTCGTTCACCTGCCATACCTCCCCCCCATTATTAATGGAAAACGACGTAAAAAATGGCTAAAACTACTTGGTGTCACCTTTCAAGAAAACCCACGTTGTTGGGACAAGCAGGTAGATAGCTTGTTGTCAAAAGCAGGAAGTCGAATTTACATCCTGAGAGTTTGTAAATTCTACCGATATTCACTAAATGAACTTACTAAATTGTTCGATTCATTGATCCTGTCGTTATTTTACTATGCAATTGAAGTATGGGGATCGGCTTTGCAAGCGAATACATTGATAAATTCAACAAGTTTCTCAATCGTGCATTCCGATATAGATACACTCAGAATAAATATTCAATGGCCAAGATAATTGAGGAGAGGGATCGATTATTGTTCAATAAGGTCATGCACAATCCTGACATTGCCTATATGAGTTGTTACCGGAAGAACGTCGACGACCTTTAAGAGAACGCGATCATCAATTTATGTTACCAAAAGTTTACACAGAACGTTTTAAACAATAATTTTTGAACAAGTGTCTTTTTAATGACTTTTAGTTTTAAA